CCCATACCCCCCCAACGAAAAGTTGATCTTTTTCGTTTTTTTTTTTTTTGGGGGGGGGTGGAGCCGGGGATGCGCCGCCACGTGGCATCTCCCGAATTTTGAAAGTCGCTCCCCTGTGGCCGCCACGTGGCTTCAAAGCCGCGCAGACGCGTCCGCGGGCTCGCGGCCTAATCCGCGTCCGCGGACTTGGCCGAGGTTGTCCGCCGCCGAGGGGGATTCATAGCACAACACAGAACGCGACCCGGAGGTCCTTGCGGGGTTCAACATTTGGTTGTACTCCTGGATACCTCGACATCGGCTCCACGTGGTCAGCTCCCAGGTCGACCAATGGGTCAATGCTTTGGGAGGGTTCTCGACGGAGCAGGCTTGCAAACAAGCCAACCACCAACCGCCAACTTTGTGGTGGGAGGCGTTTGGCTCGAAGCACGACTTCCTCGCACCACAAGCGATCAAATTGCTTGGCCAGGCAGGCTCCTCTGCCGCGTGCGAGCAGAATTGAAGCTTGCATGAGCTAATCTATGGAAGGAGGCGGACGAAGTTGTTGCCAGAGATGATGGCGAAACTCGTCTACATCAGCTGGAATGTTCGGCTCCTGAGGAGGATTCAACGCGGCTACCCACATCCCATGGGCGGACGACGTGTCGGTGGACAAGGAGATGGAGGAGTGGTATGTGCGATGGTTGGAGCGGGTCAATGAGGATGTCGAGGAGTTTGTGGAGGTCGACTTCGATGATGACGGAGATGAGATCCCGATGCGGAGGACTTTCGTGCGCAATGACGAAGTTGACGACAGGCTGGTCGAGGAGGAGGAGACTGAACTTGTTGGTACAAGGCAGCGCGACTGGCACGAGTGCACAAAGCCTGGGAAGCACCGCGAGCAAGAGTTGCGCAGGAGATCTGGTTGCCAGCTGCCCGAGCCTGGAGAGTTGTACACAGAGGCGGGCTACGCTCTCGCAATGGAAGCGCGACGGGCAGGCACGTGGGTGCAGGGCCGGGACGAGGCGCCAAGAAAGAGGAGAGGGAAAGGCAAGGGCAGGCAGACGGTGATGGATGATGATCCGCCCGCGCAGAGTGGGAAGAGGAAGGCTGTTCAACAAGAACAACCACCACCGAAGAGGGGCCGTCCAACTTTGGCAGAACAGGCGGCACGCAGGGCGCAGGTGGCTGAAGACAAGGCTGTTGCTGCAGCTGCTGCAGCAAAAGCTGCTGCTGACAAAGCCGCAAAGGCCAAAGCCAGAGCGGCAGCGAAAGCTGCCACAAAGAGCGCAGGTGGAGGGAAGACCAAGAAGTCTGTCGTTGTAAGTGACGACGACGACTTGGATGTTCCGGAAGGAAGTCTGGACGAGGACGAGCCCGAAGGCTCGTCCACGTCTAGCGACTCAAGTTCTTCATCGGCGGCCTCATCATCTCAGTCAAGTGGGAGGGAAGGCACAGACGGAGAAGGAAGTGAGGGAGGGGCCCAGTTCGAGGACGACGAGGAGGAAGATCGAGCAGAGGCTGAGTAGAGGGAAGCCGTTCGATCTATGAGTTTAGGTATTTGATGCTCCAAGTGCACCGTTCTGACAATGGTCGTCTTTCAGACTTTCAGACATTTAGCTTCGAAGTTCCGAGTTTCAAACTCTTATTTTTATTCTAGCAATGTACGAATAATAGCGTCGAATATCCTTGCGCCAATTGATTGTTGATTGCATTTGATAGACTGTTTTTTTGTTGTGTTCGTCATTGTTTGTTGTGGATGTTGCACTCAAATTCATTGCTATGTTCTTTTGATGCCATGTTGCCGCGTCGCTGGACGGATGCCCTGACTGCCGTCGCTGGTACGTGCATACTCCGGCTGCAGGTGAGTGTTTGCAAGTTGCAACTTTGCACCCCTCCAACCCCTCTGATTTGTCTGTAATTCTAAAGAAAATGAAAAAAAAAAAAAAGCAAACGCAAACGGGGCAGA